ACATCCTTTGTCACATCCGTAGTACCCATGGGTTTGTCACATTCGTAGTTCCCAGGGGATTGTTACATCCGTAGTTCCCAGGGGTTTGTGACATCCGTAGTACCCATGGGTTTGTTACATCTGTAGATCCCAGAGGTTAGTCACATCCGTAGTTCCCAAGGGTTTGTCACACCCGTAGTTCCCAGGGGTTTGTTACCTCCGTAGTTCCCAGGGGTTTCTCACATCCGTAGTACCCATGGGTTTGTTACATCCGTAGTTCCCAGGGGTTTGTCACATTCGTAGTTCCGATGGGTTTGTTACCTCCGTAGTTCCCAGGGGTTTGTTACATGTGTAGTTCCCAGGGGTTTGTTACATCCGTTGTTCCGAAGGGTTTGTCACACCCGTAGTTCCCAGGAGATTGTTCCATCCGTAGTTCCCAGGGGGTTGTTACATCTGTAGTTCCCAGGAGTTTGTTCCATCCGTAGTTTCCAAGACATCCGTAGTTCCAAAGGATTTGTCACATCCGTAGTTTCCAAGGGTTTGTCACATCTGTAGTTCCCAGGGGTTTGTTACATCCGTAGTTCCAAAGGATTTGTCACATCCGTAGTTTCCAAGGGTTTGTCACATCTGTAGTTCCCAGGGGTTTGTTACATCTGTAGTTCCCAGAGGTTAGTCACATCCGTAGTTCCCAAGGGTTTGTCACACCCGTAGTTCCCAGGAGATTGTTCCATCCGTAGTTCCCAGGGGGTTGTTACATCTGTAGTTCCCAGGAGTTTGTTCCATCCGTAGTTCCCAGGGGGTTGTTACATCTGTAGTTCCCAGGAGTTTGTTCCATCCGTAGTTCCCAGGGGGTTGTTACATCTGTAGTTCCCAGGAGTTTGTTCCATCCGTAGTTCCCAGGGGGTTGTTACATCTGTAGTTCCCAGGAGTTTGTTCCATCCGTAGTTCCCAGGGGTTTGTGACATCCGTAGTACCCATGGGTTTGTCACATCCGTAGTACCCAGGGGTTTGTTACATCTGTAGTTCCCAGGGGTATGTTGCACCCGTTGTTCCCAAGGGTTTGTCACACCCGTAGTTCCCAGGGGTTTGTTACCTCCGTAGTTCCCAGGGGTTTCTCACATCCGTAGTACCCATGGGTTTGTTACATCTGTAGTTCCCAGAGGTTAGTCACATCCGTAGTTCCCAAGGGTTTGTCACACCCGTAGTTCCCAGGGGTTTGTTACCTCCGTAGTTCCCAGGGGTTTGTCACATCCGTAGTACCCATGGGTTTGTCACATCCGTAGTACCCAGGGGTTTGTTACATCTGTAGTTTCCAGGGGTTTGTTACATCCGTAGTTCCCATGGGTTTGTTACACCCGTAGTTCCCAGGGGTTTGTCACATCCGTCGTACCCAGGGGTTTGTTACATCCGTAGTTCCCAAGGGTTTGTCACACCCGTAGTTCCCAGGAGATTGTTCCATCCGTAGTTCCCAGGGGGTTGTTACATCTGTAGTTCCCAGGAGTTTGTTCCATCCGTAGTTCCCAGGGGTTTGTGACATCCGTAGTACCCATGGGTTTGTCACATCCGTAGTACCCAGGGGTTTGTTACATCTGTAGTTCCCAGGAGTTTGTTCCATCCGTAGTTCCCAGGGGTTTGTCACATCCGTAGTACCCATGGGTTTGTTACATCTGTAGTTCCCAGAGGTTAGTCACATCCGTAGTTCCCAAGGGTTTGTCACACCCGTAGTTCCCAGGAGTTTGTTCCATCCGTAGTTTCCAAGGATTTGTCACATCCGTACTTTCCAAGGATTTGTCACATCCGTAGTTCCCAGGTGTTTGTCACATCCGTAGTTCCCAGGGGTTTGTCAAATCCGTAGTACCCATGGATTTGTTACATCCGTAATTCCCAGGGGTTTGTCACATTTGTAGTTCCCATGTGTTTGTCACATCCGTAGTTCCCAGGGGTTTGTCACATCCGTAGTACCCAAGGGTTTGTTACCTCCGTAGTTCCCAGGGGTTTGTTACATCTGTAGTTCCCAGGNGTGTGGTTTACTGACGAGACCAACTTATATAGTTCCTAAGGGTTTGTTATAAGCGTGGTTTACTGACGAGACCAACTTAATTAGTTCCTAGGGGTTTGTTATAAGTGTGGTTTACTGACGAGACCAACTTATATAGTTCCTAAGGGTTTGTTATAAGTGTGGTTTACTGACGAGACCAACTTATATAGTTCCTAGGGGTTTGTTATAAGTGTGGTGTACTAAAGAGACCAACTTCTATAGTTCCTAGAGGTTTGTTATTAAAGTGGTTAACTATTTATAACGCACATTATATCTTTATTGTCCTGTCAACCTAAGACTTTCGACATTTATTAGAATCGTAATAACTGATGCATTCCTAACTGTAAAGTTGTTTGCTTTATTTGGTTTTCTACATCGTCATACTGAGTGCTTCTTTCATATGTCTAAATAATTGTTATTTGTAAAATGTTGACTCTGGTGGTGCACTATCAGTCCCCGAGGTCGTCCACAACCTTGTAGTTTCTGGAACAATTTACATGAAATACTAGGTAGATAATAATTTATCTGATGCAGCCGGTAGTTGTATATTGTAATGTTGAGTGTTCAATAAAGTTCTGTTCTGTAATGGGTCTTATAGGCACCTTTCCCCTTTGACTGTATTTCTCCAAATGTTGGGCAACTCTTTAGACTTCTGTTTCCATTCTACTGAACTTTTGTACCAGACAAGCCGTAATTTGATGAAATGGCCGTATGGAGCGGCAACACGTTAATTGTGTCTGATTTTGCGCCCCGTTTTGTTTTGTTTAAATAGATGCTTCTTCACTGCGTATTTCTAGCAATTGTTTTACTCAAGAAAAGGACAGATTCCCAATTTATCATCTACATACAAACTAGTATTGACTGTTCTTCGCTTAAAAACAAAATATGTTTAAAAACTACTGTTGAAATATTTGTACAATGAAAAATCACAATAACTCAATGACTCACCTCCATGAATCAGAATTAGACGGAATAAAGTTCCAAGTAATCCTTAATTGTTTATATCTTAAATTCTTATTCCGCATATTTATGAAACAGAACTTGGGACTTTCTAAAGTTTCCATTATAGTTCAATAACTATTTTAAATAATTGAACTGCTCTATTATCGTCATCACATAAATGATGTTCAGTTCCTCTTACTGTCCTAACTTTTCTAAACAAAATGGTTGTTTTCTGGGTATAAACAGTCAGGTAACATTTCTCAGACAGAAAAAATAATAATAAATCAAGAAAGTTTTGAAGTCCTTTTTTTTCTTTCTACTTCAACTTTATTTCCTAGCGCCTTGCTTGGTAACCCCTAACTTTTGACTTGAATGTTGAGCGTTCGCCCAGGTGAGGAAGGCAATGGGTTCTATCCCCAGGCCGGAACATACCAAAGTTCTTAAAAACTGTAGTTGTTATTCCCTGCTTAACGTTCAGCATTAAGGGGATTGGCAACAGCTGGTTCACCCGTTGTCAGTTTAGTGTGAATGGGCAGAATGCTGTGCTTGGTGCCTTTGGCATAGCATTTTAGTGAGATAGCACTATAAGGTCGGCATCAGATCCGCGCTATCACAAGGACCCTGTTTCCTGCATACACACACACAAGCACGCATACACTACACACACGGAGGCACGTCCTTAAATGACCTTAGCTGTTAATAGGAGATAAACAACATCAAATCAAACCTATCCACAGACTGACAGACTAGATTCACCACGGCGTCAGCATGGACATCACAGAATTCAGGCCTAGCGTCAAACCTATCCACAGACTGACAGACTAGATACACCACGGCGTCAGCATGTACATCACAGAATTCAGGCCTAGCGTCAAACCTATCCACAGACTGACAGACTAGATACACCCCGGCGTCAGCATGTACATCACAGACTGACAGACTAGATACACCACGGCGTCAGCATGTACATCACAGACTGACAGACTAGATACACCCCGGCGTCAGCATGTACATCACAGAAATCAGGCTGACCGTCAAACCTATCCACAGACTGACAGACTAGATACACCACGGCGTCAGCGTGTACATAACAGAAATCAGGCTGAGCGTCAAACCTATCCACAGACTGACAGACTAGATACACCACGGCGTCAGCATGTACATCACAGAAATCAGGCTGACCGTCAAACCTATCCACAGACTGACAGACTAGATTCACCACGGCGTCAGCATGTACATCACAGACTGACAGACTAGATACACCACGGCGTCAGCATGTACATCAAAGAAATCAGGCTGAGCGTCAACTTTAGCTCGTATCCGATATTAACTTCAATATCAACTGCATTCCGTAGTCGTTTATGTATATTATTTACAAAATAATTGAAAAAGAGTAATTCAATAATATTATATAATAGAAATAAAGCAGTTTTGCCCAACCCTCTAGGGAATGTCATATTGTATAAGTATACTGTTCTAATTTGTTAAAATAATTGGCGTGAAGATTCTTTGCGGTTTTGTTTTGCAAATTTCTTGCCATAAATAAATGTCTGCGTCTGTAAACGGTTGCGACCAAGTTGAGGGAGCAGAAACTCGTCTTTGTATTGATCGCTGATATAATGGTTGACATCTTGCTCGTCACTAAGTATACCTGGCCTTTAAAACAGACTTGAAAATCCATAATAGATATATCGTACCTTTCATGTTTGTTTAATACAGTTTTGCCATCCAGAGATTCTACTTTCATAATGTGTTCAAAATATCACCTTCGTTCCTTTTGTTCATGTTATGGGACTTTTCTTACCAAAATTATAAAGACCTCCATGTATTATGCCTCTTTTTTTGTCTTCATTAAATATTTTGGGACAGTTCCTGTAAGTTTTATATTTACGTCTGTAATTCTTCATTGCTCCACGGTTTGCCGTCTGGTCGGTCAACATTTGCTGAACTTTGAAGATTACATTTTATTTTTTAAGTAGCACCGTTATAAAGCAATCAAGTAATATACCGATACTTCAGTGCTGTAGTGGCGCAACTTTATGGCAGTGTCACACGGGAACGTGGTGTACTAGACCCGAGACACATGTGACTGATAGCCCAGTTCATACATTACCATGTTCAAATCTACTGAACGATTCAGTTTTTCCGACATGGATGATTACACGGGAGAGAACAAACGCTCCGGATCTAGGACGAGTGGGACGCTCTGTCAGGTGTCCGTAACCACAGGATTCATTCTTACTTTCCTCTTCTTGGCTATAGCGGTTGGGATAGGGGTAATTGTGAACTTTGCAGGAAACAACAAGAATGTGACATGTTCCTGTCAGTGTGGAGACGGAATGACAACGCCCCACCCCCCGGACTACATACCACAAGCCTGTAAGGCACTTGCGCTGGAGGGAAACAAGGAACTTTGTATGTACATTTTGTTAAACCACACTGTTTTATACATTTTACATTAGTATTAGTCAAAACCTTTACACTATTTTTTTTTTATTTCAACAAGCAATTTCTCATAAAGACCGTTCATTGACGGTAGTGAATGTTTAATTATTTAATATTTTAATGTATTTGTATAATGTTAAGAAAATAATTAGGCAGTTTGAGAAAACACGTGAAATGACATGTTTTGTGTGTCAAAGGCAGTCGTACCCCGAAACATCATGGGGACATCATGACAGATACCACATGTGGTATAGGATATTGTAACCTGAGCACATTTCCTTTTTTAGAGTTCATGATGTCTTTTGATGGTTTTTACTGTTCCTGTGTATTGGTTCTGGGTTTGTTCTTTCATTCATTCATTCATTTATTCGTTCATTCATTCATATCTTTATTCCTCCAAACATGAAGAGTTCAATGCAATACACACTTATCTTAAATAAACATTAAATATAAGAAAATGTATACAGTTATCAAATAATGTACAATGACTGAAAAATGTAAGGAAGACAAATAATGCATTCCTGTACACTAAACAAATGCCTTGCTTTCAACTAGTTTAAAACAAAAATAAAGTTATTTATAAGGACTCATACTTTACTGGATACAATACAACTATCTGGTACAAGAAACAAGAAGATCGTCGTGTTCTTCAAAAATATCTCGAATAAGTTCAGCAGGAGAGCCAATAAACGTGGTTATATGAGTTTACCGACTCGCCTGGTCCAGTGTAACGTTCACCTCAACAGGGTAGTCGTAGTCGTTGAGAAGACTGTGTTGCGTAAAGCTAACACTTCTTCGCCAGAGCAGTCCAAGATACAATGTGCAACTGTATCGGCTACAGGTATATTACATCGTGCACATGCTATTCACAATCTGGAGAAGTAATCACAAGTTTTGCAGCATAAACATATGTTCTACTTAAGTAGGGAAAACATTTTGATAATTACGAAATAATCGAAGGACTGATGCCACATTGCAGATACACACATCTAGAAAGGTCTCTTGGGAGGAGGAGACACTGCTTCCAGTCAGTAGTATATTTACACAATAACACGTCCTTTATTAGACGTTTCCAAGATTTAACCCCTAGACGAATTCCACGATAGGCATGAAAAGAAAACAATAGACTTATATAACTTCGTACCTGTCATTGGATTGATCCCAGTACCGAAAAGGTTACAATGGAGTAGGGCAAAACATTGACTTCTTAGCTTGTTCACAGTCTCATTGATTTAACAATATAACCTTTGACCATTCAATCTTGACCATCAAAATCTAATTAGGTGTGCAACTCGATGTTACCATGCTATGGTGAAACTACATGTATATCTGACAATGGGATTGCGAGATAATTGCATACACGCTCTTTACGTCAAAAATGGTCAAACGTTACCATAGATATTTTATTTTTGACCACTGCTCACCACAATATGCTAAAGTGTAGAACTCTATGTTGCCTTACTATCATTTAAGTATAAACTTAATCTGTTGAGGGGATCGTCAGAAATATTGTTCAGTCTTTGACTACGGACAACCACGCACTTACGCATGTAAATAATATAGAAAATTATATAAAATTATCAAAATTCATAATGTAGTTTAAAAAGTATCATTCATGTTTGTCTTATGAACAGAATGATATTCATAGTTGATATTTTCCACTACTGCATGTCGTTGCTATTATATATCCCAAACAAATTCAGATGGCATTCATGTAGACTGTAAATGCAGTGGCACATCATTATTAGGACGTCATCATAATTGTATATATAACGTTGGAAACCCTTGACCCTCCAAAGGAGATGGCTATGCTATTCATTGAACAAGCATACGTGATACATACACTGATTTGAACTGAATTAGGCATATTTATAACATATTTTAATTTCTATTACATCAAAATACTCAAAAGATGGTAATTTTAAGCATTGTGTTGAGATGGTCTTTACAGTCTAATTGTGTATGACACACCGCAAGCAAAAAAATATAATGCAGTAGCGCATAAAATACTTTATAAAATACTTTCTGCCTACAAAGGTGTGTCATTCATGTAAACACCATATCAACACAGTTCAAAGCTTACCACTATATGACACTGGCACAATATAACACCAACAAGTTCGGATGACATTCATATTAGCTATGAATACCATTGCCCACGTGTTAACGTCATCAATGTTTCGTGACATCATAATTATAACATTAGATACCACTGACTTCCTTGATGGCTGTTCTTTTCATCAAACAGGCATACACGGTCCTCATATTTGTTTCAACAAAATGCAGAAATGTTATTAAAACTAAATCAATTTTCCATGAGACATAATATTTGAAAAGTGGTAAATGTCATAGCTGAGCTGCTTTCAGTTGGAATTCAAGTCAATATGGATAATTGTTCGCTTCATGAATTAGTCACGTACATGTACCAGTTGGCAATCATCCTAAAATGAATACCATCTGATTTCGGTATGGTTATATACCGACACTGACAATTGATTACAATATAACATAAGGGATAACGTGTAGCATTGTATTGAAGGACTCAACTACAAACGATAAACAATTAAGAAGAATATAACAATCGTCTCGCTTTACATACACAATTCACAAACTTTCTATCAATTATTCGTAAAAGCATTTGGTCTCTCTACCTCAAATAAGGGTTGACGATCACTGTCGCCCTCAGCCAGTTTGCTAGATCTCACCACACTGTAACTCAAATTAATCTTATGATATATTAATTACAAATCCTGAGAGCATACATGTACGATGTTGTACGGTCTTTATATGTATCAGTTACGTTATTGATACATATACAAATATTAATCAGTGTTATAAAATGTAACCAGGGTGACAATATGTACTTATTCACAAACACAACTACTGGATTATTTAAAAAGATATTATCTTATTTCTAAATGAAGTTTTGATGTATTTCTGAGTAATGAATATAATTATGAATATAATATTGGGATTTCCTTGTTATATATTTGAACACTTGCGAGGGACAACCCTGTGTAATCTTTTGTTTTATCATGGTTAACAGGTGATAAATGTAAGTTTTCAATCGATCCTTCTTCACAAATACGTCGCAAAACACCATAAATTGTTGGAAGATGGTGTCCTTTTTGTTCAGATATTTGATTTGGGTTTCTTCCCGATTCGTGCAAAGATTTGATGACACTTTTCTCTGATAGAGACAGTTCTCTCCGTTTGGGCGGCATCTGTTTACAACAGTCGACTTTCGCAGATGACCAAAATCACTTCCGGTGACCCATGATCCTTTGCATAGCATGTGTGGAAGAAGGGGCATAACCCTTACATACTTTCCGAGGAATGCCCCTTTTGATCAAAATAAGTAATCCGGATGTAAAATGACGTCGTTAAAATTATCTTCATTTTTCTGAAACACAAATCTCATCGTTTTATAATATGTTCGGAGAGATGATCTGGAATTTCTAGATGAGGAAATTTATTTGGATACAGGTTTTAATTCTTTACTTCATTAGTATACACCGTTTACAGACGGTATATGTTACATAACTTTTGATATTTTTGTTGTCATATGATGATTTAATGAAATGTGTTGTAAAAGGCACTTCTATATTTCCTCGATACCAAATAATATATTTGGTTTTTTAGCCCACCATCACCCACCATTCTAATCACCATGCGTCCGTGGTCTGTCGTCCGTCCTTAAACAATTCTTGTTATCGGTATTTCTCAAGAAGTACCAAAGGTTTTTTTTCTCAAATTTGATATGTAGGTTCCCCTTGGTCCTAAGCTGTGCAGGGCAACTTTCGAGACTGATCGGATAAACAACATGGCCGACTGGCAGCCATCTTGGCTTTTGATATTGAAAGTTTGTTATCGCTATTTCTCAAGAAGTACCAGAGGGATCTTTCTCAAATTTTATATGTAGGTTCCCCTTAGTCCATAGCTGTGCATGGCAATTTTTGAGACTGATCGGATAAACAACATGGCCGACAGGCAGTCATCTTGGATTTTGATAGTGTAGGTTTGTTACCGCTATTTCACCGGAAGAACTAGAGGGATCTTTCTTAAATTTTATATGTAGGTTCCTCTTTGTCCTAGCTGTGCAGGGCAATTTTAGAAACTAATCGGATAAACAACATGGCCGACAGGCAGCCATCTTGGATTTTGATAGTGAAAGTTTGTTATCGCTATTTCTCGGGAAGTACGGGAGGGATCTTGCTCAAATTCATCTAGGTTCCCTTTGATCCCTCGTTGTGCATGTTATATTTTGAGACTGATCATAAAAACAAAATGGATTAAAAGAAGAACTAAACAGATCTTTCTCATACTGCAATGATCGATTCTATTTCTTTCACATTAAGTACGGTACTAGTAAATATGTGAAATGACAAACTCACTTTGAAGGTTGGCTTTCATACACATTAGTATTAAGTTTAGATCAAAAGTTACCTCAAGGTGCATTTACTGTTAACATGACTCGATCAAACAGATTAGAGGAAAGAAGAGAAAAGATCGAACTAACAAAGAACTAATGAAGATGGTACAAAGGTGGGCGTCAAGATCCCTCTGGGATCTCTTGTTTTTGTAATGTTTTAGTTTTCAGAATTTTGGTACCAGTACATTTTACAACATTTAATATGTATACTTATCAGCACGCTCACTGTTTTACCTTCATTCAACAACTCATACTTTGCCTTTATTTACCGATTTTAGATTGATAATGTATTCTAATAAATCAACAACTCAAACAAAAGGAAAATAATTTATAGTATATGTTAATAAAGCAAAAACATGTTATTTTGACGTGAACATTTTAACATTGAACTTCATTTTGTGTACTGTTTTTTGGCAAAAAGAAAAGAAAGAGATACAGAAAAATTGGAGGAGGCAATAAAGAAGTAGGAATGAGGAATATGGTGTCTTATGACATGACAATGATTTACTATTAGATCAGTTTCGTAATATGTATGTGA